GAATACTCTGTAGACATCTACTAGATCCATTTGCTTAAAAGTTTGGTTTGCTTCTATTTCTTTGTTGATTTTTTTTTCTAGTTGATACATTTGTGATAGTGAGATATTGTGGCTTCCCATTACAATTGTATCAATGCTTATTTGATTTTTCATGTCTATTAATATTTGTTTTGTATATTTGAGTATGCCAATATTTGGTGCATATATATTTATGATTGTTATCTTTTCTTGGATTGTTGCCTTAGCAAGGATGCAGTGACCTTCTTTGTTTCTCTTCATCAGTCTTGGCTTGAAATCTACTTTGTCTGCAAATAGAATACATATCTACTCCTTTTTTCTCTGTCCCTGTTGCACAGAGTATTGTTTTCTATTCTTTGATTTTTAAGTCTATGAATTCCTTTTTGAGTTAAAAGAGGCTTTTTTTTTTTTTCTAAACTGGGAATTGAACTTAGGATCTTGTGTTTGCCATGATTTTTGTATGCAGCATTTTTTGGACTTTGTTTGTTTGGTGGTTTTTTTTTTTTTTGTTTTGTTTTGTTTTGTTTTTTGGTGTCGGGGTTCAAACTCAGGACCGCACATTTTCAAGGCAGGCGCTTATGCTGCTGAGCTAAATCCCCAGCCCCAAGGACCTTGCTTCTTGACCCAGTTTCTCAGTCTGTTTTTTCAGATTGGTGAACAAAACCATTTTAATTGATATGTATTGATTTATCCTTATGCTATTTTCCCTTCCTCCTCTGTTTAATTACTTGACTTGCCTGGTAGATTACTTCTGTTGAGGGTAATGGAGTTGGAATCCTTGATATCTCTTTCTAGAATATTCTTTGGAGCATTTTGGAGTGCTGGTTTGGTAGTCATGAGTTTCTTCGGGTGTTTTTTGCCATGGACATATCTTATGTCTCTATCAGTTTTGAAGAGTACAACAATCTGGGCTGGAATTTGTTTTCTTGAAATACTTCAATCCAAGCTCTCCTTAATGTTGGGAAGTTTGCTGTGATTCTGATGGACTTTCATTGTAAATTATTCATTTCTTTTTCCTGACAGGTTTTAATATTCTATTCTTGCATTGAATTTCCAGAATCTTGACTGCTATATGCTCAGTGTAGACTTTTTTTTTTCATCATGAGTAATTGGAGTTCCATATACTTCACTTATGTATATGTAAAATTCATTTTCCATGCTTGGGAAATCTTCTGTCATAACTTGTGTAAACAGGTTTTTTTAAAATGTCATTTGCACTGTCTCTTGCTTTTCTATTGATTCTAGTCAATCTTATGTTGTTTTTGTCTGCATCATCTTATAGCTGTTGGACTAATTTTTCATGGTCCCTTGCTACTTTTAAGAAATCTTTTCATGATTGCCAACTGCAATCATGTCTTCTAGATCTGATATTCTGTCCTCACATTGCTTCATTCTGCTGTATATAGAATTTCTTAATCTCTTGGATATCTGATTGAATCTGTTTTGTGGATTCCATTTCTTTCCTATTTTGGGCATTTATGATTTCCTAAGCTCCTCTATTTTTAAAATCTGTATTTTTCTCACATTCACCAATCATTCCATTCATTATGGTCATCATCTCTGATGTTACCTGAAAAATTATTTCTGATTTGACATTTTTCTAGAGCTTCATTCATTTAATTTGTTATTTCTGATGTTACCACTTCAGAGTCCGGGTGAGTGGTTTTTTAATTATTCCAACTCTTTGACTACTCAGTTTGCCTTTGGCAAGCTGAAAGTCTGAGGTTGCATTTTGCTTCTGTGTTTTCTCATGTTCTATTATTTTTTCAGTTTAATTCCTACAATGATGATTATAAATTATTTATGGTATGTATCTTTATTGCTAATATTGAGAACTCCTAAGAAATAACTACTTCTCAAAGATGTCTTCTGGGTATAGTTGGCTTCGAGACTGTTTCAAGATCCTACATCTTTAATTTATGTGAGATGAGAAATTGCTGCCTGATTTACCTAGCTTCTAGTTCTTTGGCCATGGACTATAGTGTTGTTCATGACCCTCAGACAATTTCAGTCTTGGCATACAAGGAAAAACAGTTGATTGGAATAATCATGCCACCTTGGTTAAAGTAGTACAATGAATAATGAGAGTAGCATCGAGCACATTCTAGAAAATGACAAACTGTTGCAGTTATTATTTTATCACCTTTAACCTTCTGGACAGGATTTGTGATCATATAACCCAACCTAAAACAAACTAGAAAATTATGTACAGTGATTTCTGTTGGCCCCTCATTATGGTGATTTTACCCTCAGTAAAGAAAATTTAAAAGAGTTAGGGTAAAACATAGAGTTGTTGTAGAACAGAAATGGATTAGAAGGAAGGCTAGGAGGACAACAGAAGATTATGAAAGCTTTGGGAACTGGTAAAGACAGGAAGGAGACAAAGAAGGAAAAAAACTGAAATAACAACAGAACAAAACAATAGTAACAAAAAATTACAAACAACATTCTCATTCATATAAAAACAATAACCAATCAAGAAAAAGAAAAAGCCAGAAAAAATTTAAAATCTAAGCAAGGAAGAAAAGTAGAAAGAAAAATGTCCACTTTAGACATCTCTGCTGTCACTGGTTCATGGAGAGTGCAGACAGAGCCCAGGTCCATGTTGATTGATCTCAGCAAGCCAGCAGTAGAATTATGGTGGTAGTGAATAATCCCAGCAAGCCTAGGTCTTTAATTCCACTAATGTTTAGGCTGCTCCTGGATTCTAGCTGTGAGGCTAGGACCGAGTTTTCAGCTCATGACAATCTGAGTATCTCCTGCCAGCTTGACCTCAGTTTCCTGTGGGCTTGAACTCAGTTCCCTGACCTCCCACCAGCTTGAACTTGGTTATACCTCACGCTGACACTTGGAGCCACTAGATGGATCCAACCTGCAGTGGCTCTGTGTTTTGATGTCTGTTGGCCCCATTCCAAAATGGCTATCAATCAACTGCCCTCTCTTGGGAGAAGTGGGGCGTCTGAACCCAAATGGGTTTCTCAGTAGAGGCCTCTGGAGTATTGAGCAATCACCTTGCCTCTGCTGGTTCAAGCTGGCCCTCATATGCCATAAGCTGAGACTCATGGAGAAAGTATAACGTGCTAATTCCCTTTTCTGCATTGTGATCTCTTTTCCTTCTCTGTGAACTCTTATTTTCAGTTCAAATCCTTGCTGGGTCCTGGGAACCAACTTCCCTCCTCCTCCTCTTGCTCACATTGCTACATTCCAGCTTGTGGATTCCAACATGGGACAGGCTGTTTCCCTGCTGCTCACCATTCCACCATCTTCCTGGACATTTCAGTGTTTTCCTTCTGTTGCCAAGATACAACATTTTCTTTTATCCTATCTTCATGTTCACACATTCATTCTACCTGCTCAAATCTGCTAGTCAATCTTCTTAGTGAATTTTTCATTTCAGTTATTATACTTTTCTGTTCAGAGTTTCTTTATATATTTAATATCTATTAAGATTTTCACTGAATCTATTGTTGTTTTCTTGACTTTCCACATTTTCTTTAATTCTAGAATATGATAAAGTAATTGTTTTAAAGTCTTTGGTAGATCCACCATTCATGTTTCTGTTGATTTAGTTTATTTTTTAATTTAATTAATTAATTAATTTTGTCTTTTTGAGACAGGCTATCACTACGCAGTTCAGGCTGACCTTGACCTCACTTTGTAGCCCAGGCTGGCTTTGAATTCACAATGATCCTCTTGTCTTAGCCATGTGAATGCCAAGATTACAGATGTGCACCATTACATTCAACTTATTTTTTTCTTTTGAATAGGACATACATTCCTCTTTCTTTTTAAACTTTGTGATTTTTTTGTTGTCAAAAACTTGCATTTGAATCTAATCTAACTTTGGAAATCACATTTTCTCCCTTCTCCAGGATTTGCAATTTTTTCTGTTTGCTTAGTTGACTGATTGTTTGGTTTGTTGGTTAATTCAGTAGGCTATCTCTGTTTCCAATTAGGAAAGGTGTAAATATAAAATTCCCAGGTCTTTCATGAGACTGTTTGTTTCCCTTGGCATGCACTGTCACTTTCCCCTTTATATGCTGTTGCTTTTCAATGTTCTCACTTCTAATGCTTGATTTCAAAAGAAGAAGAGGAGAAAATGAAAGAGGAAGAATGGTTTTGGCCCTGTGAATATTCTAGAAGTCCCTTCAGCAGAGGTGGGGGAATTTAACAACAATGTAGGGAGCAGCAGCAATGGTTTCCTGCTTCTACACAACTTTGTCATCAGAAGCAGAAATGAGCAGTCAGGTCCCACTGTTTGGAGGACAGGGCACTCATTGCAACCCCTGGCTCCTTCAAGTTGTGTGCAAGCCACTTTAGACAAAACAGTTTTCTGCTTTAGGGCTGAGAGGAGGATATCAGAAATGCTATCATAGTAATAGCTTAAATCTACTGAAATTAATTGAAGTTTCCATCTAAGCCTTCTAGAATCTGCAAGGCTTCAGTAGACTGTAGAGCTCCAAAGCAGTACCATCAGACAGGTTCTGCCAGGGAACTGTCTAGTGGTGACATATTCCCAATGCTTCCTATTTTGCCATCTTCTAGAATGCTTCTTTCAGAGATTTTTTCTTATTTTACAAACTATTCTGACAACACTGAGTGCCTGGTCTCCATGACCATAGTAGATTGGAAGCAGCAATTCAGAAGAAGAAAGCAGACAGCACCAAGGAAGCCCACTGTCTCCCTTAATCATATACTCTGAGGTACCTAGAGCATAGCTGTCCCCACCTCAGTATGGAGCTTTCAGTCATTTCTAGTGCACAGATGGCCACTGCTCTGTTGCCCATACATCATTGCCTACACCACCCATTCCAGGTCTTCCCTTGGCCTCCAGCTGATGAGACATCTGCTTGTCTCCACCACCTCTTCCCCATGAAGGCTGCCCAAGCAGAGATTACACCCCACGTGATAAAGGTCTCCTTCTCCTATTTCACTAGTGCCTTTTTTCTCTTTCCAAAACCATAGGAAAATACTACTCTTACCAGCAAATGTCTCTTTTTTCTTTCTTTCTTCCCACTCTGTCTCCCTTCTTCCCTCTTCTCCTCTCTTCTGGCTGTCATGAAGTGAGAAGTTTTGCTTCATTGTACACTCTGCCATGATGTTGGGTCTTATCTCAGCCCTAAAATGACAGAGCCAAGTGATCTTGGACTGACTGACAAAATAAACCTTTCCCTCCTTTAATTTAATTTTATTGGGTATTTTGTCATAATGATTATCACAGAGCCCTATTCTAGTTCATTCCCACTAAAGATCCTGAATCTATACAAATAAGGTGATATAGTTGGGCATCTATCCTGAATATCTGATAGGAGTTAAATTTCTAGAACTCTGTGTGTGTGTGTGTGTGTGTGTGTGTGTGTGTGTGTGTGTGTGTTGGCGGGGAGGTGTTGCTGGGAACTGAACCCAGGGCTCCACACAATAGGCAGGAACTCTTTCATTGAGCTCATGCTCCAAATCCACTGCCACTTACAAGAGTGATGAAGTCAATCTATCCAGATCATGCAGATGACCTCTCAGAACAGCTTCTTAATTCAACACACTGACTCATCAGAGGCTTTGCTGTGATTTAGCAAAAATATTCTTGCATCGTCATAGGTTCCCACCAAAGTAGTAAGCACACACAAATACATGCATCTGCATACAAGCATATGTGCACACAAGAACACTAGCCATGGTATTCAACCATGGCAATTGTGGTGGATTGATGACTGGGGGTCAACTTGTAATGAATGACCAGTGAACTGAATCAGGGTGTTGAGTATGGTTGGCCCACTTGAGAATTGAGAACAACATAAAAAGGAAAGGAAGAAATGGTGGTGGTGGGGGGGGCTGGGGATTTAGCTCAGCGGCTTAAGTGCCTGCCTTGCAAGCAGGCAGTCGTGAGTTCCATCCCCAGGACCGATAAAAAGGAAAAAGACAAAAAAAAAAAAAAAAAAAAAAAGAAAAGAAAAGAAGTGGTGTTGTGGTCCTTCATGGTGTTGCTGGTCCTCCTGTTGCCACTGGCTCTCCTAGAGGAGGTTGTTGAGCTTCTTTCCTGATATGAACTTGGTTGTTCTCATTGTCAGAGGAGTTTGGGACACTGTTGTCATTGAGAATGGCTGCAGTTCACTTTGGGGAAGCTCTGGTCTCTACTTTGAGCATGGCTTCCTAGCTCGAGAGGGGAAGATGTTGTACTGTTCAATCTCCTGGAGAAGCTTGTCACTTTGGCTTCCTGATATGAACTTGTGGCACTTTTTGGGGGAGCTCTGGTCCTTATTTGGAGTGCCACACTCTGGCTCCAGTACAGATTCCCCAGCCAATAGCACAGATCCTTCTTCCCACTTGCACAGACCTTCTAGCCACCGTTGACCTTTGGGCCTTCCCAGCGCAGATCCATGAAACACTTGCATAAGACACTGTCATGGATTCTAGGTTTTCAGCTGGACTCATGTGGGATGGTGCTGTGGGATCCAGACCCTCAACTGGATTCTTTTGGGTCTTGGTGTGTGGAGAGTTTCCTGAACACTTCTTTTTTGTATTTTACTGTTTGGGTGGCTACCACAAAACAGAGCTATAAATTATGTGTCCTGTATTGTCTTGTTTTCCTTGCAAACCTGACTACAACAATGCTGCAGTATAAAATATTATTTTCAAATATTAATGATTATATTGTAATTTGAAGCATGTTAGAAAAACAATATGGTGAAATGTGCCAGGAATCATAAAAATGCTGACAGAGTAATTCCATTAAATTATCTGTAGTCTTTAGAAATAATCTAAAATGAGAAAAACTATGTCTTGTATTGCTTAGTGTGCTGAAAATTGTTTTTAAAAATCAAACATCAGTGGGCTGGGGATACAGCTTAGTGGCAAACTGCTTGTCTAGCAAGCATAAGATTGTGAGTTCAATTCCCACAACAACAAATCAAATATTAGTAATAAATCTTAGTAATAAATACAGTACATTTCTATGATGGAGTCTACATTGATATTAATATGCCAGCTTAAATTCTATATAATAGTATGCATAGGATATGATAGCTTCTACATATTGAGTGCTTATTGTGCCACAGGCCATATATTAAATATATTACAAACATTACTTCATGTCTGCCTCACAGTAACAATGAAATAGTTATTTTATTCTTTTAAAAATGGAAAGAATACTAATTTCATTTCACTAGCCTAATTTAGGAGTAAGATGAGATTGGGATTGAGGTCAGGTATGAAGGAAGAGGGTTAAAACCTATGATGGTAACAGTGCAGTCCTCAGTCACTTGAAGCTTCACTTCAGTCTACAGAGTTGCAATCCAAACACTGACAGTGACTCCTATTCATCATTTGTATGGCCAGTGACTCTCCAGTTACAATGTGATGAGGTCTATCAGGGTGCCTTTAGGAAGAATCATGCTGTCAAGAAAGAAATTTACTAAGGTATCAAAAGAGCTGAGTTCTTTGAGCATAGGTGTGATCCACATTTGAAAAGCCTAACGCTGCAAAATCTGAACCAGATTTGAATACAACAGAAGCTAAGAACTGCAACTCTTGTCTCTTCTGGGTCTGAATGATCCACAGTTATATAAAGATCATTTTGTAAATATCTTAGAGCACTAAGATGTTCTGTTTGGGACTTTTCTTCAAATCTGTGTTTTCTTATAAGTTTGCTGTACCTCAGCAAGCAATCTTTAGAAGTCGACGCAGCTTCAGTGACCAGAAGTCATAAAGTCTCACCTTTGGAGAACAAGATTCTCCTGGGTTCACCCCAAATAAGTAATGAATCTTGTGTAACTCATCATAAACAAGCTGATGGACAAATCAGCTTGGAATGGTTCTTCTCATCTAGACTTTTACTTGGATTATCCTTTGCACCTTGATCCTTCATATAGACACAAGGCCAACTATTCCTCACAATATCATAGATACAGAATGAATTTCTGACATGACTTTTTCTATCACCTTGTCTTTGCTGAGTCCAGATCACACATCTATTTCACTTATTCTGGGCAATGGTTGATGTCTGTGTGAATCCTGTCACTGGAACCATCCTGGAGTCTTTCTTGGTACCATCTGTTATTATGTCTATGATCAGAGTTCACATCATAATTAAAGAAATCATTCAAATAGTTTTTTGACTTCTGGCCACCAAATACGTATAAGCAATGATTTTTTTAGTCGAATGACATGCAGTGTCCTATCAAAGATTGAATATCTTCAGGCCCAGTGTTACTGGAGTCCTCTCAAAGAAGTTTCCAGGTTTGACAGCAAACAACCACTGAATTGTGGTTCACTGGCTCTGTTGTCATCTATGCTACCACTACATACCAAATTTTACCACTAAAGGTGTAGGTCATGCTTTTCTAAATCTATACACATCTGATGATTGAACACCAATTTTGATCCTCCATCAGAAGCAGTACCTTTACTTAGTTACATCCATGTGTTTGTGTCAATATCATAAAGGTAGAAATCACTTTTTAGAGATTTGTGGTTCCTCACAGAGGAATTCAAATAATGTACCAATGTGTAGATTTGCCTCCGCTGAGTATCAATGCATGACATGATCTGGCACTTGGGGAATTCTCTTTTCCAGTGTCTCTAGAGACACATGTCCACTGGTTCTCCTTCACATTGTATGCCCAGAAGTCAGCAAGATCTTGTGTTCCATCCCAGCCACCAATCAATAAACAGTCTCTGTTTGAACATCAAAAATCACCTCATGGCCCCCTCTCATTCCTGGCTGGTTATCTTCTCCAACACCTTTGGCACTTTTGGGAATGGCACTTTTGACTCCATCGTGGTTTATATTCCTTTTGTCTGATACACTGGTTGAACAAGCCATCATTTATAGTTTTCTCAATCAATTCACAAGCATCAAAATCACCCTTTAACATCAGTTTGTTGTGCAGATCTGTTAACATAGGATGTTCCAGGATTATCTTAGTTTCCTTTTGCAGTGATTTAAAAGCCTCTGTATAGTTGTACTGACAGAAATGTTTTAGGAAAGGCAAATGGCTTCCAGTTCACGGTACTTGTGCTAGTTGAGACGTTTGTACTACATTGGGATCATCAGTGCCACTGGGTTCAACATACCAGAAGCTAAAGTTAAAACTGGACCCTCAGGACAAGAGTAGAACTATCTCAATGAATCGACAAAGCAGTATCTGTTCATAATTTTATACAAGGTGAATGTTTCTTTGTTATAATCATTTTTTAAGCCACTAGACAATACCTGTCATATTTTCTTCATTCGTTCCACCAAAGACTTTAAATTCCTCCAAATTGCAAGATGTGTTTTCTCACATTTCTCAAACGTGATATTCTGATTTGCTGCAAACCTTTCAAGTTTTAGAATCAAGTACTGAGGAGGAGAGTTGCTTTCTGAAGACCATCTTGAAGGCTGGCCATTTGGTTTTTCCACTAAAATGTTCTCAGAAAGGAAAGCAGAAGGAGCTCCACTTGTGTAGCATGCAGGGCAGAAACTGGCACTTGGACACAATAGCAGCAGCCCCACCAGCCGCCATCTTGTCAGCCACATGTAAGTTACTTTAAAGCTCTCTTACAAGATTCTTTCTGTATGCCTTATTAAATCTGTCACTGGGACAAAATATTTGCGATAAATGACTTGTAAGAAGGATTTTTTATTTTGGCTCATGCTTTCAGAATTCTGGTTCCAGGTCACTCAGCGCAGTAGCTTTACGCCTGTGGTGAGCAGGCCGTCACTTCCGGTGGGGGAGGCGGGTGCAGTGGGGGGAGCAGTTGTCCCACATTCCCTAAAGTCACACCTCCATGACCTAACTCCTCTTACCAGACCCCATTTCTTCTCAGCAGCCTCCTAGGGACACCACAACCTTGGAAACAGGGCCTTTGAGGAACAATGAGAGTCTCAGCGCTAGCAGTGCTCCCTGCGCAGTGTCTGCCTGCAGACTGGATTTCCCTTCTCCTCTTCCTAAGTGATAGATTCTGCTAGCTTGGGGCTTTGCTATCTGTAACATGCTATCCACCTAACTTGGTACTTGACTCAGAGGAGCAATTTACCTCTCCAAGAGTAACTTCTATGTTCTCCTGCTCCTTCCAGAGATTAACCTCCTGCTCCCTTTTAGCGTGAGCATGGAGCCCTCTCTAATCCCAAGACTCGACAAC